TAACAACCTTGAAGCATGACTAGGAAAAAGGAAATGGCTATTGGGAAAAAAAATCACATACATATTCAATGTTAAAACCATTATGTGACTATAAATACATAGAACATGATTACTTCTTATTTTGTTCCCATTTGAGAATCTGATTAGTATTTTTAACCCTGTTTTCCTATGGTAGCAAATGGGCAGCTTTCTGTGTAATTTTTTTGTAATTTAGAAATAGTTGAAAAAATGAAAGTATATGTTTATGGTCTTTTATTTGGGGGATATTAAATTGTACTTCAAAGAACCCAGTGGTCCTTCTTTCATATACATTTTTATATATAATTTGTTTTTTAATTAGTGGAGAAATTACATATTTGTTTCATGGAATGCAACAATTTCAAGTTGATGCTCCAAAATAATTTTGAAAGACTGAGTGAGTCTAGAAAATTTGGCTAGTGTACATAACTCGACTTGGATCTTTCAAGCCTCAAAAACACTCTGTATTTTAAGTAAACAAATCTTAAATGGTTAGGATTGTTGAGTATAATATGTAATATATAAGTATATATATCATAATATACACACATATACAAAGATAAATTATTCTTTGCTTTTAAGGAATAGCATAAGAGTTAGAGGCTAACAAAGCAAGTTCTAGAGGATTATGAGGAACTATAAATTGGATTATGAAAGTTGTCTACATCATCTAAATATTAGTTTACATCTTAGCTTTACTTCCTGTTTGTCTTCTGTGATTTCAGGTAGCAGGTAAAAAAAATAGGCTCCAAAATTGTGGAGAGAAGTATGTAACAGGAAAGAAACCAGTAAAATCCCTACCCCCCCCCACCCCCGGTCAAAGAATAGTGTCAGATGTTTCTTGTACTAAGTGTTCATTACAATCTCTGTGCTACCTGAAGGGTAAGACAAATGTGAGTTTGAAGAGTGAAAGTGGATTTGTGGCTCAAAGTGGTAAAGTGCTAGCTTTGAGCAAAAGAGCTCAGGGACAACACCCAGGTCTTGAGTTCAAGCCCTATGACCAACAACAAAAAAAAGAAAGAAAGAAAGAAGGAAAGGAAGGAAGGAAGGAAGGAAGGAAGAAAGAAAGAAAGAAAGAAAGAAAGAAAGAAAGAAAGAAAGAAAGAAAGAAAGAAAGATAACAAAAGAAAATGAAAGAAAAGAAAGAAGTAGGGAAGGAGAAAAATGAGCAATCCAGCATTCTCAAAAGTTTCTAAGATACATGAAAATAATCAATCCTACATATTTACAAATGATTTAATGAAATTAATTTTCTGAAAACTCAAAATTTTAAAGAGATGATTGTTCCCATATACAGTAGTTTAGTTTTTTGTTTCTGCTCCCAGAGAATTTACTGTAAAGGAAAATTTTGTAGAGTAACTCTCAAAAGATAAAATATTTCACTTTAGTAAAAACAAGTGGGGATGACCTAGCTTATGGTTAGAGAATATCTGAAAAAGGCTTTCCTTTAATTCCATGAAAATGATCTGTGAATTCTATGTGTAGATGCATCTGTCTAACTTAATAGTTGCCCTAGAGTGTGTGGAATTGCAGAAACAACATTTATTTCAGAAATTTATGGAGTCAGATTTACTCCAGTTGGAAAAAGAAACTGAGCATAGTGAACTGGAATTAATTTACATTTTCTTATTTATTTAATTAACAGTTTATTTGTATTTTATGAATAGGTTCTAAATCAGAGACTTCAAAATCCCCATCTGTGGACTACTGTTAATGAAAAATTATAATTATTAGGTTCTCTGTGTCTTGCTTTAAGCCAGCAATTTTATGCCTAGAAATGTACTCTAGATTTACATAGAAATATTAGCTACAAAGACATTCATCACAATGATGTTTCTACTTTCAGAAAAGATAAAAGCATCCTAACTCACTACCAGCACTTCACTATATATAGACAATGCAAATTTATGTGGTCATCATAAAGAATTAAGTGTAATGTCATGAAAAGGTTTCTCTTACCAGGTGGGATAGTGCATACCCATAATCCTAACACTCTGGAGGGAGAGGCAGGAAGAATAAAGGTTCAAGCCAGCCAGGCTACATAAAAGATTCTGATCCTGATTCAGTAAATGTATAAATAAATAAATACCCTGGCATAAGAAAATGAAAATGTATGTTTCAGATTAAGTGAAAAAAAAGGGGGCTGGGGCTGGGCTGGTGTCTCATATCTGTGATCCTTAGCCACTCAGGAAGCTGAGATTTGAGGATCCAGGTTTGAAGCCAGGTTTAAGGTCAGCTCACACAGCGAAGTGAGACTCAACTCTAATTAACCATCAGATCATTGAAGTAGAGATGTGGTTGAGCTGTGGCTTAAGTGGTAGAGTACTAGCCTTGAAGAAAGGAACTCAGGGACAACCAGGTGCCAAGCACAAGTACCATGATGCTCCCCCCACAAAAAAATAGCTTTAAAGCAGTATGTTACATATGCCAGTATATTCAAGCTTGAGTAACTTGAATATGATGTTATTAGAGGTTTTCTCAAGAAATGGTATGTCATTTTTCTTTTCAGTTTTTATTTCCCATGTTTTATGTATTTTGATGATTAGAAATTAAAATAGCATTCATCAAAAGTGAAGTGAGAGCTTGTACATTGTATATCTTTGGATAGCTCCAAAAAGACTTGAGGCTGGGTGCTGGTGGCTCAAGGCTGCAATCCTAGCTACGCAGGAGGCTGAGATCTGAAAATTCAAGTTTGAAGCTAGCCTAAACTGGCTTGTTTGATTGCTAGTCAACCACCAAAAAACCAGAAGTGGAAATGTGGCTCAAGTGATAAAGTGCTAGCTTTGAGCATAGTGCATAGCCCTTCTGAGTTCAGCACATAGGAAAATTTTTAAAAAAGGAAGAAAGAAAAAGAGAAAGAAAGGAGGGAGGGAGGGAAGGAAAGAAAGAAAAAGAAAGAAAGGGAGAAAGAGAAGAAAGAAGGAAAGAAAGAAAGAGAAGGAAAAGAAAGAAATATTTGAGAGATCATTGATAAGCTGAGTCCCCATTAATAGTTATATGTCTGGAAAAAAGAATACTAAATTTACATTTTATGTTTAGATTTACAATTGTGGAGGTGATTTATATTGCTATTCCATTTTAGGAAAATAAAGAGGTTTTAATCAGATGAAATCTGGTTTTCTCAAATTCACTCAGCTATGAAATTGTGGACTTTAAAATTCATATCCCTGAACTTAACAAAATCATGGTTGCTTTTTGAAGTGCTGGAGATGGAATCTGGGGTCTTGTGCCTGCCAGTGCTTTGTCACTGAGTTATACCTCCAGCTACGCATAGTTGTAAGAAATAAATATACAGGGTAGCGTCTTGAAGAATATTTTCATGTGCAGATTTGACAGAAGACAAGCCACCACTGGAACTTTTCTTTGAATGAAAAAGAGCTTCTGAGCTTCTGAGGAGAGTTATGGTGACAGTGGTCTGCCTTGAAGTTTACTTGACTCCTCTGATCACTTCCCCTTGTATTCTGTCTACATACAATGATTTATGTGAGTGGGATTAGAGTCAGACTGAACTGCCAAGTTCCATGAGTTCTGTGGATTTCACTTTTGGAGAGATTTTGAACCATGCTTTAGCCCTCTCTTTTGGACACTTGTTTTGAGAAGTCTTCCAAATCCTATCAAAATAAATGTATTTATAGAACCATGACCACTATTAAAAATGTTAACTATAATTTCCCTCCACTAACATTGTGTCTATTTTTGAGCTACTGTGTTTAATAAGCAATGAATATAGCTGATGATTTTTATCAGTCCCCTTTGGCACCTCCAACTTCATGTTTAAAACATAACTCTTGATCTTAACCCAAGCCCACCCCTAATAATCTTTCTCAATTCAGCTACTGATGACATCTTCCTTCCAGTTGCAGGGCCAGAAATCCTAGTGTCAGTCCTGAGTTTTCTCTTTTGTTCACACTCCTTATCCAATCTATGAGAAAAGTATGCAGAATTGATCTTCTACATTCACCTGGCTTTGAAACACTGCCCATGCCTGCTCTATTTTCCCTCACTGGTCTCACAATGCATGCTACAAACCATTGCCCTTTCTCAGTGCAGTGAACAGATGAATCCTGTCCACAGGCCATCAGTCTCTGTGACTGCTCGTATCCCAGCAGCCTAAGCCTCGCCTCTCCTCACCTGTACTGGTCCTCTCTGTGTTCATCCAGGCCAGGTCCCATAACCCCTTCTAACCTTCCTAATTTGCTCCCTTAGCAGCTCAGCTGGCCGCTGTTGTGTCTCCTGCAGCCCACAATACACGTCCTCAGACTACTAATGGCAGCTTACATGCCAGGTGCTTAGGGAGGCGTTCTTTGTCATCATGCCCAAAAGTCCCAATTCTATGTTCTTTCTATCTCCATCCTATAATCTGTATGTTCCAAAAATACAAGAATGTGTGTTTTTCTAAAAATTATATTGACAGTATCTCAAATTTAGAGGGACTCCACAATCAGCTTCTGAATATGTGATAAACCCAAATTGAAAATCCTTGGTTATATTTAACACAGGTCATTATATTGGACTTTGGAGTACTATAGAAACTTGTTTTACTAAAATATAGGTAAGTATAGAGTTTGATTTTGGGGAGAAGGATGGGTCATATTTCTTTTTCATCACAATGTTAATTTAAAAAGACTAACTAAAAAAAATCATATTTCAGATATAAACACACTGTTTAGGCCAGGTACCCATGGCTCACGCCTATAATCCTAGCTACTTAGCAGGCTGAGATCTGAGGATGGCTGTTTAAGCCAGCTCTGGCATGAAAGTCTGTGAAACTCTTACCTCTAGTTAACCACCAGAAAACCGGAAGTGATGCTGTGGCCCAAGTGGTAGAGCGCTAGCCTTGAGCCAAGGAGCTCAAGGACAGCGCCCAGGCCCAGAATTCAAGCCCCATGACCTTAAAAAAAAGTTTATATATTGATTTTAAGTGTGTTTGCTATTGTATTTCAACTCCCAGCTCTCATCATTCTCACAATTTTATTTTCCAGAAAAGAGGCCCAGTTAGATGAAGAAGGACAGTTTCTTGTCAGAATAATATATGATGATTCCAAAACTTATGATTTGGTTGCTGCTGCAAGTAAAGTCCTCAGTAAGTTGGATGCCACTTTCCTTCTTTGTCTCAGTTACATAGAGTAGCTCAAAGAATGTATCCTTCAAGATCAAGTGTAAAGAAATACAAGTTGTGAACTGCACATGCATACAATGTTAGGACAAAGTATGCTGAGTCCCATGCTTTATTTCACAAGATCGTTAGAGAATGGAAAATATAAAGAGGGCTTTCTTTCCTTCTCTACAAAGCAATCCACTAGGAAGGAATAACAATATGGATGCTAACTTCAGTTATGGTGTCAATAATGTAGTAGTCACCCAAGTGTATTTGGCTCTCATAAGTTGTGCCAACCATTGGCAAAGACAAAGCCAAAAGTCCTTTCTCAGAGAGAGTTTATAACAGAAGAAGGCAATTCTCAGGAAAAAGAATAGTTAGTTTCTCTCCAAGTATCATCTGTAATCTTCATATTTCTAAGTTTATCCTGGTTTACACTTCATGTAGAATAGAATCAATCTGATTAGCTTCATTTAGTGGAATAAAAGAATTAGATAGTAAGTGGTTAACAATGCAAAGCAAAATAGATAGCTTCATTAGTAATCATAATTTGACACAAAGATGAGACAAAGTTTGAACATTTGTAAACCTGAAAAACAGGGTGGTTAGAAGTGGAGTTTAAAAGGGATATCATACAAATTTTTAATCTAATGATAAATTAAGATGACTTTTTTGGAGAATGACTTTGTATCATCAAAGTCTTTTGAAAACTATGTTCCAACATTGAAGGAAGTTTTCCAAAAAAAACCATTAGATTATTTTCATTTAGATTCACATATAAAGATTTTTTTGTAGTGTTTGAGTTACTTATGCAAAGGTAAAAATAGTAACAATGCAAAAGTAAAATATTTCAGTAATGTTACTCCTTTGAACAACTTCTTGCAGACTAACAAAATGAATAGCAGGAAGCTGCAACTTTAGTTGGGGGAGGGAAGGATGAATGGAAGAGGAGTGGATTAATGGGGAAAGGAAAAATGGAGGAATGCAGTAATCATATTTAATGTTTATATCTAAAAATGAAACTAGGAAAACTGAGGGGATAAAGAAGTTGGAAAAGATCGGGAGAATAATGAAAGGGATGATATTGATCAAACTGTATTATACTTATGTTGAATTTTAACTCCTTAGTACAACTACTTAAAGGCAATAAAATTATAATGAAAAGGGAAAAAAACAATCAATAAGAGAAGTTGCTTTTTATAAACTGTTGCACCCATATGTTGAATAAGATAATATTTATAACTGAAACTTTTGGAAATAAGAATGACAATACAGAAAAGCAGGATCCTGATATACATACTGCTTCTGCTCACTTGTTAAATATATATATATGTATATATAAATTTATATATTTATTCATGTAAATTTATATATTTATATGAAAGAAATTTTTTTTATTTTTTAAATTTTTTTATGTGAACATACTGTACAGAGGGGTTACAATTACATGGGCAGGATAATGCGTACATTTCTTATCAAGCATTGCAGCCTCCTCCTTTGTATAATTTATATATATGTATATATAAATTTATATATTTATTCATGTAAATTTATATATTTATATGAAAGAAATTTTGCTTCAAAATATTGTTCTGAGTATTCTTGATTATTTAAAACAGCTTCTATAGTAACAAAATTAAGTAGTTACAGATGATGAGAAATAGTTACATTGCTAGTTAAGTACAAAGAGACACCAATAATGTTAAGATATTGTGCTTTCAAATACTGTGTCCCTTGTATTGTACTGGCTAGAGTTTTTGTCTCTTGATCCAAATTCACACTGCACAGAGTCATGGATATTTTAAATCATGGCCTTACCTTCATTCTTCTCATTAACAGCATCTCACTTATTTTATGTGTTTTCCACCTCTCTCCCCCTGCCCCCCCGCCTCAAACCTACAAAACAGATCTCAATGCTGGGGAAATCCTCCAAATGTTTGGGAAGATGTTTTTTGTCTTCTGTCAAGAATCTGGTTATGACACCATCTTGCGTGTCCTGGGATCCAATGTGAGAGAATTTCTGCAGGTGAGTGATTAGAGGTTCTGCAGTTGTGCGTTTTGAAGTTTTTATTTTTTATATTTGTGGTGTTAGGATTTAGACTCAAGATCTCATACTTGGCTTGCATGACTGTTGTTCTTCCACTTGAGGTAGTCCAGCTTTTTATTGGTTATTTTGGAGAGTCTAGTGAAATCTGTAGGATTATTTCAGGCAAATATCCTTTGAATCTCAGATCGCTAAATTATAGGTGTGGCCACACAAACACGCAGCTGAGTTTGTGGTTCCTTTTGTTGTTGTTCTTGTTGTTGTTCTAGTACTGGGGCTTGAAATCAGAACTCAGGGCCTCCAGATCTCACTCTACTTTTGCATTAATGACTGGTACTAAAAACACGTGAGGCAAGCTTCTAGTTTCAACCTTTTGCTGGTTAAGTGGCAGATCTTGTACTGTGATTCTTAGATATCAGCCTTCTGAGTAACTAGGATGATAGGCCTGGGCTACAATAGTGCCACTTGAAATTGTGGTTCTTAAGAATACTTTTATTTAGTTAGCTATACAGAATGCTTAAAAGGAGCCCTAGTGACATATTCACATAAAATCATATTTATTATTCTATTTTAGCACTTTTTTTGGGGGGGGGGCCCGATCGTGGGGCCTGAACTCTGGGCCTGGGCACTGTCCCTCAGCTCTTCAGCTCAAGGCTAGCACTCTACCACTTGAACCACAGCGCCATTTCCAGATTTTTTTCTTTTTTGCTTATGTGGTGCTGGGAAATCGAACCCAGGGCCTCAGGCATGCAAGCCAAGTGCTCTACCACTGAGCCACCTTCCCAGCCTATTTTAGCACTATTATATCATATGTCTTCTTAATTCTTAGCTGCTGACACTAAATATGCAAGTCATATGTTAGTGTTCTTTTAAAATCTCTCAGGGTTGATTATGATCTATTCAACTGCCTTTTTATGATTATGTATTCAAGTGGCATAGTTCTGTGCTTTAAACATATAACATAGTCTTATACTCTGTTTGTAAAGTATTCCTATAACTTAGTCTATTTAAATAGAATTTATGAACTCTTATTTAAACGCTTTAACAGAAAAAAGCACTAATTATGTTCACCTCAAAAAACGTTTGATCACTGATGATATCGCATATTATTTAGATATAAAGAAGGTAGAAAAGTTTATAAAGCTAGTTTCAGGTTTGTTTATTAAAATAAACAAAAACAAAAGCACAAATATTTTTATCCTATACTGTAGTTTTTGTTAAAATTACCTTAAAAGTTGTCATTAGAAGCTGATGTCAGTGGCTCCTGTCTGTTTTCCTAGCTACTCAGAAGGCTGAGATCTCAAGATTGCCATTCAAAGCCAGCCCAGGCAGGAAAGTCATCTCCAATTAACCACCAGAAAAGCCAGAAGTGGAGCTGTGCCTCAAGTGGTGCAGTGCTAGTCTTGAGCACAGAAACTCAGGGACACTGCTCATGCCCTAAGTTCGAGCCCCAGGATTGGCACACACACAAAAAGTGGTTACTACTGCCTGGCAATGGCCACCCTAGCCTGTAATCCTAGCTATTCAGATAGATGATTATTGTGGTTCAAAGCCAGGTTTGCCATTCAAAGCCAGCACAGGCCGGAAAATATCCATAAGATTCTTACCTCCAATAAACCACCTAAGGTCTGGAAGTGAAGCTGTGGCTCAAGTAGTAGAATGCCAGCCTTGAGCAGAAAGAGCTAAGGGACAGTATTCAAACCCTGAGTTCATGCCCCAGTACAGCCATACAGACCACAAACACACACACACACACACACACACACACACACACACACACACACACATGCGTGCACACGCATGCGCACACATACGTATCTGTATCTCTATATATACGTATGTATGCATATATATGTATATATATATATATATTTACACATTAAATGAGAGCGTATTTCTGGAATTACAGTTCTATTTTAAGCTGAGCATTTGTGAGACCCTCCTATTGCACTGTCTTAACACTGAAAATTATGGAGCTGTTTGCAGAGAACATGTCTAAGCTAGCTGCAGAGAGCAGCCAGATCTTGCTGGAAAATGATGTCAGCCCAGTACCAGCTGAACCCAAGCCCAGCGTTGGGGGAATGTAAACTACTTGCAGGCCAGCTGCATTATTTATTTAACAGCCAAAATAAGAACTTTTGTGTTTAATCAAAATGTCTGTTGTTTACACTGGGACATTTTTCTTAGAAACGTAAAACAGTATTCAATCATGTTGGAAACTCGTTTTCAGTTCATGCCAAGGATTTACTAAACTAGTGTCAAAAAAAACACAAAACATTCCTCTTTCTAACGAAGCTGCTACCAGGATGTCCAGAAATTAAAGTGGAATCGGTGGTATTTAAGAAACTGTTTGAATGGATTGAGATGTGATACTTAAAAAATTGTGAGGGAATTTAGATTTGGTGGTAGTCTTAAATTGTTTTATTTTACTGTTGATTTGCATACATCAGCATACAATTGTAATAATTCCATAATAAATAATTAAATACCCATCCTATTTTAGTTTTTGGTTGTTTGTGGGGCTTTAACTCAGGGCCTGGGGGCTGTCCCTAAGCTTTTGTGCTCAAGGCACAACTCTACAACTTGAGCCAAAGCTCCACTTCCAGTTTTCTGGTGGTTAGTTGGAGTTAAGAGTCTCATGGACCTTCCTGCCCAGGTGGGAATCCTGATCCTCATATTTCAGCCTCCTGAGTAGCTAACATTACAGGCACGAGCCACCAGCACACAGCTCCTCTCCTGTTTTTTTTTTTTTTTCTGATATTGACCATTGTCACATTCTCAATGTCATTGCTCTCAAAGACCCAGAATGAAACAGTTTTAGGAAGTTTTCCACTTGTGCTTATTGTGACCACCTATCTGAACTATTAGCAGGGAGACCTATAGCAGTCACAGATGTTACTTACTCTGAGCTCTGCATCTGTGTCCTCCAAAGATCCACGAAATACAACAGTTACCAGATTCCTACCACAGAGCAAAAAAGACTACCAAATAGCTCTTATCCAATTTTACATTAAAATTTAACAAATATATCTTTAAATTCCATTTGAGCTTTAAATGATAACAATGAGGAAAATACGAATCTAGACCACGACAGAGTTTTTAGGATGTAGAGGGATGGATTAACTTGTATAGCACTTGGTCAGGAGCTGAAAAACCCAGGTGAGAGTGAGAAACCCTGAGTTTAAGCCCTAGTACCAGCATATACACACACCAACTTATCAACATTATCTACTTTTGATTTTTTTCTTGTTAATATCATGAAAAATCCAGTATGTTAAAAATGTTTTTCTTAAAAATAGATCTTTTTGTTATGATTAGGCTAAGACAACAACATTTAAGCAGTCGTTTTTCTATTTAAGTAACTGTACAATAAACCAATTGATTTTTTCATACATTGTTTTAAAATCCTAGCACACACACAAAAACTTCTCATGCATTAATCAAACATTCTTCACTGAACACTTCAACCATTGAGTAGAGAGTAAGGTGAACTGGCCTTCATTGTGAAGACATTTTAAAAGCTTTTATATTTTTTCCACTCCCTAGTTTTAATCAATCATAAGAACCTTTAGCTGTATTTACTAAATACTAGATTTGGAGAACTCAGTCATTTGTGTTTTATGTTTCTCCCACACATCCTTGGGAAGTCATCTGGAAATTAAATAAGTCTTCCGCCTTGTTTTCCTTACATCTCCGGTCTCTTATCCATCCTAGAACGCTAGTGATTCATCTGAAATATAAACACATCTCACCATAGCATTTTCTTGCTTACACTTTTGATTGGTTTTTCATTTGTGGTTGGAAATATTAAACATTTACAGCAATGGAATCTACTTTTATCCTCTGTTCATCCCACCTCTTCTCTCTGATTTTAGCCACTCTTAACCACTTTTTAGAACTTTGTCTCTGTCTTGATTCCCCTATCTTCTCTCTTAAAAAAAAATAGAACTCTGGGACTGGGAAGGTGGCTCAGTGGTAGAGCGCTTGCCTTGCATGCATGAGGCCCTGGGTTCAATTCCTCAGCACCACCTAAGCAAAAAGAAAAAATTCGGAAGTGGCATTGTGGCTCAAGTGGTAGAGTGCTAGCCTTGAACTGAAGAGCTGAGGGACAGTGCCCAGGCCCAGAGTTCAGGCCCCATGACCGTACCCCTCCCCCTCAAAAAAAATAGAACTCTTTATTGTTATTGTTGTTAAGAAATTGTTCAGATGGGTTGCTATTCAGCATGTCAATTTGAGGACCATGCAACTTGATCTATGTCACTCTTTCTAGCATCATCCCTCCCTCTGTTCGAACTGCACTCATCCCCTCAAGTTGTCTGCACATGTACACTGCATATTTTGACTAATAGGAGAACTCCTTGACGAGACAAATCTGAAGGAACCTCAGTGCATACAGCAGATGAAAGTCAGGGCTGCTCGATTTGGGGCTTGTGACTAAGACACCACTTCACAGCACAAGGCTCTTTGCACCGAGCTCCAAAACCCCTGCCTCCACCAAAACCCAACAACTCCCACCTCATCCTCACTGCCCTGACACATCGTCCTACTGCTGTTCTTCAATGTCATTAGGAATAGTCAGTATAAATATCTGGACCACTATCCCTAGTCTCTGAAATCTGAACACCTTCAAGTCAGCTCTAGAGAGCCTGCTTAAAATCTGATCTTATGCAGCTGGAGTGAGACTCCAGAAGTCTGTTGTGAAGTACACTTGCTTCACTCTTTTGTACATACTCTATTGCTCTGTCTGGAACATCCTCTGGCTCCTTCTCACCTCCCTACATCCAGTTCACCTACAGGTCAAATTGGTTCTACCAAGACACCTCTCCTCTCTCCAATCTCCATCCAAGTGAATTGGGAGCTTAGTCTTTCTCCTGCTTTCAGAGAACTGTTTTCCCACCCACAGTAGTTCTCATGTCACATTATCATTTCCTGTTTGTTTGACTGGAATGTAAACTTGAAGAAGACATGCATAATCCCTTACT